GTATGGTTAGATTTTTTTCAATCAAATGTTTTTGAAATATACGGTCAGTTTTGTACTAGTATCATGATGACATTTGAGGGATTTCATTTTGCTATAATTGTGTTGCATACGTATATATATATATATGAGCGTTTTAGTGTTTCGACGTATTGAAGAACAAGTTGACCAACTACCCCAGTTTTATCGAAATAATGTGAAAATAACCTGGATTGCATGCACGTTAAAGAAGAAGAATATCTATAAGTTCATGCACTTTGTGTTTGTTTAGCACTAATTTGCGAGACATGGTCAGATGCATGCACACTTTTGTTGCTATTGACAGAATTATTGTAAGTTTGCAATTTAATCGGATCGATTTTGAACATATGTGCAGCTGGTATATGGTCTAGCCATAGTCCAATATGCGTATCAAGTCGGTATTGTATACGATTTAGTAATCTCCAGGCAGATCTTTTGGTGGCTGCAAGACTGTATCAAATTGGCAAAACAGTATCACATTGGCAGAACAGTATCAAATTGGTAGCCTCCTTCGCAGTCTTGTTGGGCGTCGGCGTTATTTTTTTCTCTGAGCGACGCGAGTAATATGCGGCCGCGAGGGACGAAGGTTTCGCGCTCCAACGAAACCTTCTCTCCGTGGCAAAAACTCCCTCGGCAGCAAATCGTCCCTCGCGGCAGCATATTACTCGCGTCGCTCAGAGAAAAAATAACGTCGACGCCCAACAAGACTGCGAAGGAGGCTACTGTTTCTAGTGGCTACCTTGTCCCCATAAAACACAGTAGCAATCGGGAAAATTTCTGTAATCAGCACAACATCAAAACTCCGTCCGTAGTAGGTGTCTGATGTCGAGGCTAAAGTCGACGTCATCACACTATAAACTGCGCAGTCGCAGACTTGCCAAATCAAGCCCCACACGAGACGTCCTTCACTGAGCCCCGGCCGGGTCAACTCTTCTCAGTAAAGACGATTTCAGGTGAGCCTGTGCCTTTCTTTAAGGGATTCGGAAACTGGTACGTTTTCTGACTAAGAGTAAGACTGTATGGCTTATAAAGTAAACTATGATAATTTAAGGTGTGTGTCTTTAAGTTGGTTAAGTCTTATCCTCTTTGAGAGACTTTCGGAATTTGTTGTTCCGGTTTAGCGGTTTAATTTCTTAACCCTTATCTACATGGGCTAGGTGTCATTCGGAAGTGATGTTAAGAGTGCGTATAGATCTTGAGGAAGAGACACAGAGATTCAAGAAGTCAGTAGCACCTTACACATTCTGTTAAACGTGGGCTCTTTTCACTAGCCTTAGCAACTTTGGTACGTAGAAAAAACAAACAAGACCACGCATAGCTGAAATTGTTTGCCATACCTTAACGGAGCAGGTGACTCATAGCAGAGATCAACTGTGCTTTGTAAACTGGTCATTTAAGAATCGCTATACCCTACAAACAAAAGTATACCTTGAACAAAATCAATCTCGTCTATCAATAGCAAGTTGTTATGCAGTGATGGTTTACCATGTAGATAGAATATGACACTAATTTTGAATGTTGTGCATCTCCAGGTTTTCTCCAGGTTCTTGATAATGATCCACACCACTTAAAACAACGAGCTTGCATCGCTACAACCTTCACCATTAAAAAAACATCGACTTCTTTTACCAGACGGGGTTTGCGGTTAGAAAAGACAAACAAACTGTGAAAAAGCTAAGTATATAATTGTCTTCATCCAAGCAAAATGTCGGCTACAAAGTTCAGGCCAGTGTTGTGTGTGGTGTTATTGGTGTTACTGTCCAACACGGATACATCTCAGGCACAAACTACTCCATTTTATGTGACAACATGGACGACTCCACTACCAACTACCATGGACCTGACAACAGCTGGAACCTTTACGACGACTACCGGAACCTTTACGACGACTGACGGAACCCTTACAACAACTGACGGAACCCTTACGACAACTGACGGAACCCTTACGACAACTGACGGAACCCTTACGACAACTGATGAAACAACCTTAGAACCAACCACCATGGGCATGTCCAACGGGACACTGATGACAACTGTAATGATTCCACCCAACTCCATCGATCTATCTAACAACAACATCACTTCTATTCCTCCGAATTTCTTCAACAACCAAAGCGATCTCCTGCAGGTCGACTTGAGCAACAACCAAATCTCGTACCTCAATGGCAGCATATTTGCACCCTTAGTCGACCTAGAAGTTCTCAATCTCAAAAACAATCTCATAACCACGATCGCAGTAGACGTTTTCAGCGACTTGGCAAACCTTCGGTCCCTTGATCTGGCTGAGAATTCCATCACAAGCCTGCCGGACAACTTGTTTCTGCACAACTTCAACCTAACAGATCTCCACCTGGGTTTTAACAACATTTCTGCTATTGGTAGAGACACTTTTACTGGTTTGAGCGCCCTTCAAAAGTTGTTTCTGAACAACGGCGCGCTGTCCAGCATACACCCGGCCAGCTTCTCACCCTTGGTGAATGCTGAAGAGCTTTACCTGCAGGACAATCATATTGACTACCTTCCCAGGAACGTTTTCCGAGGACTCACGAAGTTAAGGTTGGTGAATTTACAAGGAAACCCATTAGGTCCACAGGATGTAACTGTGATCACCCACAGCTAGTTGAAAATATAAGCAGCTGTGTGAATATAAGTGATCAAGCTGATATCGATATCCATGAGTTACATGTCCAAGTCTCGGTTTCTTGTGTCGACACCAACGAAACAGAGACCTGCGAGATAACTGTCACATCAGAAAATTGCAACAGCAGCAGCGACAGCGACAATATGTACATAATTGCCGTAGTTTTGTCCATGATAATTTAGGTACTGGCCGTGTTACTGTTATTACTGTACGGGTACCGGGCAAACCTGCAAGTGTGGTTCATCGCGAGATATCCATGCTGTAGGTCTGGCCGAGTAGAGGACAAACAGTACGATGCATACATTTCCTACAGCAGTGAGGACCAGAGTCTAGTCGTGCGAGAGATTGCACCAGGGTTAGAGGAGCGGGGGTTCAAGCTGTGCCTGGAGTACCGAGATTTCCCGGTAGGAGCGTGCATAGCAAGCACCATCATAGAGTCGGTTGAGGACAGTAGGAGGACCATCCTCCTTCTCTCGCAGAGTTTCGTGGACTGTGAATGGTGCGCGCTGGCGTTTAAAGCCGCACACCAACAAATGCTGAAGGACAAACAGAAACGAATCGTGGTGATCGCCTTGGACGGTCCTAAACTAGAAAATGTCGACAAAGACCTGCAGTTTTTCTTGAGTACAGCTGAATGTTTGAAGTGGGGAGAGTCTCAGTTCTGGGACAAGCTGAGTTATGCTTTATCTGGTGTGGGGAGGGGGGCGGTGCAGAACCAGCCCAGTGACATTGAACTGAAGAGCGGGTGAGACAAAAACATTGTCTGATTATAGTTGAATTAGTAGTGAATGTGCCAGTTCCTGTACAATAATAGCCAGAACCATGCTGTATAGATGGGTAACTGACCGCTATATAGGCCAATCTGCGTAACAGCATACATTAGGTAACAACACCTGAAATAACCAAAAATGGGCCAGACATGTGCTTTTTCAATAAACATATTTCACATATTATAACTGTTCATATTGCTGTGTCGGTGGCACGTTTGATTACGCGTGTGTCAGCCTCGACTTTATGATGAGACTAATTACCCCAGATGGGGAGATAGCCCGTTTGTGATTGGTCATTTCAAGGACTAATAAACCCTACAGGATGTGTCACTTTTATCAGTGACGCAAATCAAATGTATGTGGACAGTTCGGTAAAGATTGAGTACGAGTATGACCAACGTTCGGCTATTGCAAAAGGATGACATTTCAGCTGAATTTTGTATTGTAATGCATCTGGGTACCTTCGTATGAACAGCTCAAATTAGGAAGACCAACGCTCTGGTAAGAATTAGGACATAAATGTATATTTTCAATTAAGATACGTTGCTATGCTTTTTGGGCATTATACCACGCCTGCGCCAGAATTGCCATGCGAATAATTACTCCAGATACAAAGATGGACCTTTCGTGATTGGTTGCTCCAAGGACTGTGGATCCAACGAAAAACCTATGTAAGTGGATCGAACCATTCCGGCCTAAAATGTGGTAGGGAATTTCGAATTTCCCGATCAGCTTCGCCTATTGAGTCAGTTAGTCAAGGCATGCTCTCATTCCTTCGTATTAAAGACGTACTATAATCTATTTCGTATAGAAGCACTTTGCTATGCTTTGACCACAAAGGAAAATTAACAACTGTTTTACCTTCACCTTTCATTGATTTTAAGCAATGACATATGCAGTCGTGAAGAAGCATACTCATTTTTCAGCCCTGCTTACACTGCATGTTTTCACCTGATAAGACTAACGCCAATTTTACAACATGTTAGATTCTTCAGAAGAGGTATTAGATGTGGCAGGCAGTGACATACAAGAGACGTAATACTAGAGACAATCACACAATAGCAAACTTTCCTGGTGTCCTTGTTTTTTTTTGTTAGATAATGATAAATCACATGCATATGCGGTGGCACATGTACGTAATATGGTTCAATTCTAATTTGGGCTCGCGCGTCACACTATGTTTAGCTAATTAGTCTAGGTTTTCCTATAAATGGAATGTTCAGAAGCAGTTTCCTCATGCAGCCTATCTTTCTATCCATACAGATTTTGTTTCTTCAAAAGGGCGCTTGCCATTATAGTTTTGAACATCTCAAAAATATTGTCAAATTGACTGGACGACGCCTACGGACAAGAGTCCTACAAACAGAAACGGCTTCTTCTGTTTGCTGTCGGTTACGGACTGATTGACCGGACCTGCCCAGCTGCGGCCCCGGCCACTCCGCGCAGATCCTGCCGCCAAAACTAGCCAAGACCTCCGTCGTTATCTCAGTCAGCGTGTTGTATTGGAACATTCTGGACATTTCAGGTAAAACAGATCATTCAGTAGCTCTTCCTCAAGGGAACCGCAGGTCGGAATTGAATCTCTATACAAGCTAATAGCTTATCAAAAGTGTTTTTCCCGTCTTAGTACAAAATATTCTACGTACAATTTACAAAAAGAACGACTGAAACTAGGAACATCGAAGCACTATCAACATCATTGGAATCGAAGATAAGAGACGCTTTGAATAACAGGTGTTTAAGGTGTCAGGTAGGAAACAGATTTTCAGCAAAGAAATTTTCAAAAGCTGTCTACACAATGAAATTAGGGTTTCAGCACAAGATTCTCCTTGTGATCCTGGTCCTGTTCACGGTACCCAGCCTCTTCGCTAGTCAAACCTGCTTTCCGACATGCCAAAGGAAATTTTTCAGCAGATGTCTGCCCGACAACCTCCTAGGCGATAGGAGTTTAATGAGTCAAATCAGTCGACATGTACGTACCACAGAATGCGTTTTATGTGGCGATGGTCACACAAATTTAGTTGACACTCCTTCTCCTAACAGTCAAACAGAGAAATGTTTTAGAGGTATGCGATGGGTCGGTGTAAGAGGGTTTCAATACGGCATCTTGTCGTCCAAAACGCTAGCTATAATCGACCCTTCTTTACTTGTGAACCTGTTTTTGATTGAAGCAGGGATAACTGAACTGAGCAACGACACATTCAAAGATTTTCACAGGTTGCAGAGTTTGCAACTCGATTATAACTTGTTGAGGCACATTCCCAGAAACTGGTACAGCGCTTCGCGTTCTGGATACCCAGTTGATAAGCTCTCCATTTCTCACAATAACATCACCAGTTTAGACGCCGAATGTTTCAAGAATATGAACCTTACGTCGTTAGATTTAAGGAGTAACGCGTTGCGAGAATTGCGCAGTGAGTGGTTTATCGGAATAGAAAACTTAAAGACGCTACTTCTCAGTGGAAACAGAATTAAGACAATCCAACCAAATATATTCAGATCAATTAGCCAGCTTCACTTTCTGGACCTGAGCCATAACGACTTAGTGAGTCTAGACAAAGAAGCATTTTTGACACTGCAAAACCTGATCAGAGCCGAGCTTGGTGGAAACAGGCTTGTCGAGTCCAGACCAGATACTTCTCATGAGATACTATGGCATGTAGTACTGGATAGTTGTGGCAACAGACCAAGGCAGTGGATACGATTCGAGGCTATTGGATTAGTATTACATATCAATTATGCAGTCAATGACAACAGCTTCACTATTGATTGGTCTAGCACGTTGTTAAGTGAGCATAAAGTCCCAATCAACCTGGACTCGTGCAACCTACTGTCCAAAGAACTGCGGTTGGGTCATGTTGCGTCTTATCCTCCTTTCGTCATTATAGCAAGGAATACTCAAGATGGCGCAGAAAACTCTTTTTTAAGTCAATGTTTGGGCGCATGGAAAGGGTCTGAAGGCATTACTTTCGGGTTGAAAGGTCCATCCAGTTTGCGATTTTCTCGTGTTGAGACAAGTGACAAACATGGCAACTCCAGAGTAGAGAGCTTCAGCGTTGTAGCAAATACCCAGCTGAAACGAGCAATGTTCAATGACTCTGAGAGCACAGATACACACCAAGACGACCGGGACGATTCTGATACGTTACGTGTTGCCTGCTTTGGTCTCTCCCTAGACCAGAAACAAGTTTCGTTCTTCGACGTGTCCACAACAAAACAAACTAGTGACATTAATTCTGTCACGGAGGAGGCTCATACGACAGGTAGAATTTCAACCAAGGAGTATAGAACTATGAATAACACAGGAACACAGAGTAGCACACTAACTACAGGGGCACCTTTCGTACTTATACAGACTGATTCGCCCCCTGATGTAATTTCAAGGTTTTGGATTCCCCTGATAGCAACATCTGTCGTGGCGTGTCATTTCATTGCAGCATGTCTTATTGCATGTTTCATTTGGTACCGCAAAAGAGGTAGAGATCGTCAAAACCAAGACAACAACGGGCAGAATAACGCAACTCCTTACGTAGTAACGTACACCACAGACAACCCTGTCTACCTGGCCCATGTGGACAGTGGTGAAGCTTGCGATCAAAATGCTGGCAACAGCCTGGACCTTCCAGCTTCAAGGGAAGATATAATAAGAGGCTTGCAAAGGAATTCAATGTATAGAAACAGTAGTACGCGAGATAGGCTCCAGTCAGATAGCATGCATGGCAAATGTCAAGCAAACGATGTCTGCAACCAAGGAACCGATGACTTCAACCAAGGAACCGAAGACTACACCCAAGGGACCGATGATTTGCAGTTGGAACACTACTACTCTGAAGATGATAACATCGATGAAGAAGTGTTCAACTCTCCTTGCGCAGACTACTATCACGACATCAGAGACGAAGACATTGACTATCACGAAATTGGAGACGAAGACATTGACTATCACGAAATTGAAGACGAAGACACAGACTATCACGAGATCAGAGACGGAGACATTGAAAATGCGCCCGGACAGGACTCAGAACCTTTCTATGCCGCGGCGTCAGCTCGTGTGAGTCTGTACACAACCGGAAATGTTGTCACCGATCAAACTCCACATCACCACAGGGATGAATCGTTCGATCAAGAAGACACAGCTTACACGGACATATCAAACCGTGGGGACAATTCCGTGTATGAAAAAACAGATAATCACTCATCTGATTTGGAACAAGGATATTACTACTAGCCAAGAGACGACCGAAGAAGCCTTTAAAATTGGCAACGTCAACATGTAGTGTGGATAACACAACGGGATCCCTCGATCAAACCTAATGCCTTCGTCGGAGAACAGACGGAACGGACAATAGAAAGTTTGTTATGACGTTATGATTGTCATTGTTGGATTTGGTGTGTTTCTTGATAATGATAATCTGTATTTTTACTTTTTTTTTCTCTAGCACGAATATTTGAGCCATTTATTATATTCCTGTATTGTACTGGTGATTATTGGTATCATAATTTTCATCATTACATTGTTATTGTTATTATAATAAATAATTTGTAATAAATAAATAAATAAGGTGGTTATCGGCCTGTTATCAATGTTGCAATTCAGTAGATTTTTCATTCTGAGTTATCATATTTGTTTATTGTTTGTATGACGATAGTATGACGATTATATATGACGATTTTATACTGTGTGTGAACGATTTGGTTATAAAATAAGGTGTGTATATCATGAATAGCGAGTATCATTGTGGTGATGCAGATTATTTTAGAGATATTCGAAACTTTAATTTTACAAAGATAATGACGATCATCCACTGGGATATGAAGCCTGTTTTGTTTACAGGATATATTCAAAAGGAAATTTTGTGTAATGTTTTTAATGGATTATCAATAAATGTCAATCATACATCGTGAAATTTTGTATTGGAGTATTTTATGTGTCAAAAGAAAACCGTTTCACGATTTTCCATACACTGTTGAGGAAATGTCCTATTTAGCGGTCGGTGACCGATGTCAGCAACTTACAACACCTATCGCCCACAAACTGGGACACCCATGTAGTTAATAAACACGTGTTTATACACATGTCCCCATTGTGAGTAAAATTTTCCTTCGAAAGATTTGTCCTTCCAGCAACCAATGAGGTGCGACCTGTCTCTATATGAAGTGTAATTATTCACATGATAATTCTGACCTAAATTCAGACAAAAGTAACATCAGTACAGCAGCCTAGATATTTTGTTTCAAGAAAAAAAAGGATGTGGAAGAACAAATGCATAGGTGAGGTTGCTTTTGGCAGCGAAGCATTTGATGGTACTAAACAGAATTGGTCACTGAATTACATAATGTTCACAGCTTACTTCTTAAATGAAAATATACAGTTAGGTTTAAAATCTTCGCTTCATTTAGTACGTTTCCATGAGATAAGTACAACACACACCCACTGTTGGTCAACGTTTTGGGACGGACGTCTTTCTAACATCCCTCTTTATTTCAAAGGAATAAAATTGATAGTTTGTATCGCAGACAGGAACATAAAGTACCACCGAGTATTATTATCTTTTATTCAAAGAAACAATAATACAAAGGAAAGGACAAAGGCAAAGTGGCGACCTACTCAAGTTGTGCAACTTATATTCTAGCCGTCACTTGTACATTGAAAGTGAAATGTTTCACAAGACACTAAAAAAGCAATACACATAAATACAATAGGTTTGGTGAGCATGAGCAAAAAGTATTAAGAACACGGACAACTAAGAACGTTTTGCTGCTATGATGAAATCCTGTGTGGCTAAAATGATTTTACGGTACCAGTTGATGTTATGAGAGCCGAGCAAACTACCACGTAGAATTAAGAGTTGTTTAACGTTGTCGGATAGAGTGTTGAGGTTCAATGTGTGTCACAGAATCTTACAGACCCTGCCAAAGAGAACTGAACGTTGGTAGATATATATGTGGGGCGGTGTGATAGGTAATGATCAAGTATTAGATCACAAACTTTTTGGATGTCCTACTTTTTCCCTTGTGCAACATGTGTACAAGGCACGTGTGAAGTCAGTAGTGACTAGTGAGTGATTGGTGACCATTTGGATTTGCGGATTTATTCATGTCCTACTTTGTTCAACATATTAGTCTGATTTTTGCAATAAGTAGAGTGTTTTCCCTGACTGAGTTAGTATTCTCTAACTTCACTCGCCTCTCTGTCAACCAGGAACTATTTTGTTCGTCAACATAGGGGTCTTATTTCTACGTCTTATTTCACTCATTACTTTAGTCGTATTATTTGACACTCGACGATTGGTTTAGCAGAACAACAGAGAGAAAGCAGCTGAGATCGGTTCTTCTGTTTGAAGTCGACTCATCACCAGTCGTGCCCAGGCAACAAGCGCAGAGCCTGCTCCCAAACCAGCCTACATCTCATCCAGTCATTCGGAACTTTGGAACATTCAGCATACTAAAGGTAAAACACGTCGCAACATCCAAAAAATGAGGCATTTGCTCATCGTTCTGATTACCCTGATCACTCTAAAGGCACCCAGACTCTCAGCAGATCAAACCTGCTTTCCGACATGCCAAAAGAAAACCTTCACTAGCTGTCTGCCCATCGCTGAAATTGATGATTTCCAGAAACGCTATACAGGTCTAATGACCGCTAGATGTAAAAGAGAGTGCATTTTATGTCAGGGGGGTCACATGCATTCTTCTCAAATTGCAAATACGTCATTAGAGAGGTGTTTTCCAGGTATGGAGTGGCTTGCCATCAGAGGTTTTCAGTACGGTATCTTGTCATCGGAAAAACTAGCTGTAATCAACTCAACTTCACTCCTAAGTCTTTTTCTCATTGATTCAGGAATAACTGGAATAGACAACAATGCTTTTAAAGACTTTTACGGGTTAGTAAATGTGCATCTAGACTACAACATGTTGACCCACATCCCAATTTACTGGCACAGCGATTCAGATGATACTAGATACGGTCTTGGAAAGCTCTCTATTTCTCACAATAACATCTCCAGTTTAGACCCTGGGTGTTTTAAGATCAATATGCACCACCTTAGTCTGTTAGATTTAAGGAGTAATGTCTTACGAGAGGTACGTAGTGCCTGGTTTATCGGACTGGAAAACTTGAGAACACTACTTCTCAGTGGAAACAAAATCAAAAGAGTCCCATCTAACGCGTTTGAATCAACGATACATCTGCAGTTTCTGGACTTGAGTCATAACGACTTAGTTTGTCTGTACGGAGAATTTTTATTGAATCTACCAAACCTTTACAGAGCCGAATTTGGTGAAAATAAGTTGGTTAGCTCCAGAGCAGATAACTTGTATGGGATGACATGGAATGTCGTGTTTGAAAACTGTTTTTTCTATAAGCCAAGACAGTGGATACGATTCGAAGCAATTGGCTTAGTGTTGCATATAACTCATGAGGCCAGAGAAACAGTTTCACTGTAGACTGGTTTAGCACGTTGGGAAGTAAGAAAAACTTCCCTGTTAACCTGGACTCGTGCTGCCCACTCTCCGAACACTTTCGCTCTGGCCGTGTCGTGTCTTATGCCCCTTTTGTTTTCGTAGCAAAAGAAAGAAAAGACTCCTCTTTTTCAAGTCAATGTTTGGAAGCATGGGAAGGGTCTGGTGGTATACACTTGGATTTAAAGGGTTCTTCTAGTTTGCGATTTTCTCGTGTAGAAGCAAGTGATAAACAAGGCAACTCCTCAGTGCAGGGTTTTAGCATGGTTTCATCTACAAAGAAAAAATTCACAGTTGACTCTCAAAGTGCATACGACAGGGAAGATTTCCCGTTAAGTGTCGCCTGTTTTGTTCTCATTCGTGGAGAGAAAAACGCTTCATTCTTGAACGTGTCAACAGTGAAGGAAACAGAAAGCAACATGGGCTCTCCGGGGAAGGGTTTATTAAATAGTGCCTTTTCGACCTCAGAAGCGAATTCAGTGGTCATAAACGCTTCTGTCACTAGTCCTTACGACGAGCACAGCCGAATGGGTGCAACTGATAATACATTGGGTACGGCAGTTGGTGTAACTCTATTGTCTTTCAAAGAGACTTCTAACATAGATTTAAGGCTTACTCTAACAGTAACCTCTGCTGTGATCGTAAGTCTTCTTGTTATCGTTACTTTTGCTGTGTGCTATTACCGGAAGAGAAATTATCATAATCATAATGCCAACGGATCCGGTGGCACCTCCCTGCAGCCACTGGCCATAATATCTCCCTCAGAAACCACGGCTAGCGACATTGGTAGACATATTTTAAATCCCAATCCTGACTCCAACGCGAGAAACGTGAGAAATGATATATTAAGGATGCTGCACGGGAACTCAATGTACGTTAGTGAAGCACGGGAAAGGCCCCAGACACATGAGAGAGCACATGTTAGGAACATTGCTCACGACTCGCTAGGGCAACAACCCTCTCACGAACCAATGACAGACACGTACACCCAAATTAACGAGGATGAAGTGTATGATCCACTGGGCCACCATGACTACTTTGAGATATCAGATGATGATACTAGAGATTATGCCAATGATTCCCAGAGAAATGCAGTAGACAGAGGCCTAACAGTCGATGGTCACATGTCACAGGGCCAAGCCTCTCGCCCAGTCTGCACCCAAAGAACCCAGAATCTGCCATCGCGGCACGACTACTGCGAACGATCTGATGAAAATGAAGACGTGTTTGACTCTTCCTGTGAAAATCACTACCACGAAATAAGCGACGAAGATGTTGAGCTAGTGCACGCCCCTGGGCAGGCCACACAATACGAGAACCCTGCATCTGAGGACGAGGAAGCATTGGCGTTCTATGCCGCAGCATCAGCTGATGTTGTCTTGCCCACCACAAGAGATATCGGCGCATGTGGCTCACTTTATAATATGAACAGAAATACCGAAGCGATAAACTGTGCAATAGACAGTCACCTTGCCATGAATACGGTAGACGGAGGAGAAACAGTTTACAACATGACCGATGACTGTACAGACATACCAAACCGTACGGACATTAGCGTGTATGGAGCATCATGATCATTGTGTAGCAAACCACGGCGAGATGTGTAGAACAAGAAAAATGGCAACCAAACAAACAATGGATTGCCTTTTGTCTCTTATGTGTGATTCTCGAGGTACCGTATGCATTTTTTATAGCAGTTTGAAGTGTTCTCAATAGCCTAAAACTCCTCACATACTGTGTAAAGCAACAACAAAGAGAGAACCTACTATACGAAAACAGGTAACATATGTAAAATAAATATTTGCAATACTAAACAGGTAGAACTAGAACTATCAAGTTTTTTTTCACCAGGATGGTCGTCTCACAACTCAGGTTTTGTTACAGCCATCATTATAGTCCCACATCAGGATGGTCGTTGTGGAAGTCTGCTCAAGACAGTTTTACCCCACGTTCAATCAGTCGCTTCTGACCTATGAAACAAAAAACAAGTATAGTTCAGTAGATTATCCATCGTTATTTATGATATTTGTCCATAGTTTTTATGACGATAGTACAATTCCACTTTGTACTCATGTGAACGATTTGGTTATAAGATAAGCTTTGTATATGATGAATAGGGAGTATTATTGTGATTATACAGATTATTTTACAGGTATTCGACATGTTGATTTTAATAAGATAATGACCAAATGACGGTTATCCACTGGGATATTAAGACGTGTTATGTGGTCAGTATATATTCAAAAGTGATTGTGATTATACAGATTATTTTAGAGGTATTCGACATGTTGATTTTAATAAGATAATGAACCAAATGACGGTTATCCACTGGGATATTAAGACGTGTTATGTGGTCAGTATATATTCAAAAGTAAATTTTGTGTAATATTTTTGAAGGATGATCAATATTAATAAATGTGAATCATACATCATGAATTTTTGTATTGGAGTATTTTGTTAGTCGAAAGAAAACCGTTTCACGATGCCTTGACGTACAATGTTGAGGAAATGTCCTATTTAGCGGTCGGAAACCGATGTCAGCAACTTACATATACACCGTCTAACCCCCACAAACTGGGACACCCATGTAGTTAGTATGCACGTGTTTATGCACATGTCCCTATAATAAGTAAAATTTTCCCTTCGAAAGATTTGTCCTTGCGGCAACGTGCGACCTGTCTCTGTATGCAGTGTAATTATTCACATGATAATTCTGACCTAAATTCAGACAAAAGTAACATCAGTACAGCAGCCTAGATATTTTGTTTCAAGAAAAAAGGATGTGGAAGAACAAATGCATAGGTGAGGTTACTTTTGGCAACCGACGGTTTGCTGGTAGTAAACAAAATTGGTCACTGAATTACATAATGTTCACAGCTTACTTCATAAATGGAAATATGCAGTTAGGTTTAAAATCTGCCCCCTTCAATTAGTACGTTTCCATGACATAGGTACACCATACACCCACTGTTGGTCAACGTTTTAGACGTCTTTCTAACATCACTCTTTTTTTCAAAGGAATACTATTGATGACAAAGCGTATATCACAGACAGGAACATAAAGTATCATCGAGTATTTTTATTTTTTTTATTCAAAGAAACAATAATACAAAGGAAAGGACGAAGGCAAAGTGGCGGCCTACTCAAGTTGTGCACAACTTATATTCTAGGAGCCACTTGTACATTGAAAGTGAAATGTTTGACAAGTCACTAAAATACGATGCACATAAATGTAATAGATTTGATGAAAAAAAGTATTCAGAACACGGACAAGTAAAAACGTTTTGCTGCTATGATGAAATCCTGTGTGGCTAACATGATTTTACGGTACCAGTTGATGTTTAACGTTGTTTAACTTTGTCGGCTAGAGTGTTGAGGTTCAATGTTTGTCACAGAATCTTACAGACCCTGCCAAAGAGAACTGAACGTTGGTAGATGTGTGTGGGACGGTGTAATACGTAATGAGTAGTTGTTTTGTTTCATCAAGTATTACTAGATCACAAACTTTTTTTGATGTCCTACTTTTCCCCTTGTGCAACATGTGTACAAGGCACGTGTGAAGTCAGTAGTGACTAGTGAGTGATTGGTGACCATGTACTACTTTCTTCAACATATTATATTAGTCTGAGTTTTGGAATAAGTAGAGTGTTCTCCGAGACTGAGTTAGTATTCTCTAACTTCACTCGCCTCTCTGTCAACCAGGAACTATTTTGTTCGTCAACACAGGGGTCTTATTTCTACGTCTTATTTCACTCATTACTTTACTCGTATTCGTTGACATTCGACGATTGGTTGAGCAGAACAACAGAGAGAAAGCAGAGATCGGTTCTTCTGTTTGAAGTCGACTCGTCACCAGTCGTGCCCAGGCCACTCCACGCAGATCCTGCTCCCAAACCAGCCAACATCTCATCCAGTCATTCGGAACTTTGGAACATTCAGCAGACTAAAGGTAAAACACGTCGCAACATCCAAAAAAAAAAATGAGGCATGTGTTCAACGTTCTGGTTGTCCTGATCACTTTAAAGGCACCCAGACTCTCAGCAGATCAAACCTGCTTTCCGACATGCCAAAGGAAAACCTTCACTAGCTGTCTGCCCATCGCTGAAATTGATGATTTCCAGAAACGTCATACCTGTAGATGTAAAAGAGAGTGCATTTTATGTCAGGGGGGTCAAATGCATTCTTCTCAAATTGCAAATACGTCATTAGAGAGGTGTTTTCCTGGTACGGAGTGGCTCGCCATCAGAGGTTTTCAGTACGGTATCTTGTCATCGGAAAAACTAGCTGTAATCGACCCAACTTCACTCAGAATTCTTTTCCTTATTGATTCAGGAATAACTGGAATAGACAGCAATGCTTTTAAAGACTTTTACGGGATAGTAAATGTGCATCTAGACTACAACATGTTGACCCACATCCCCATGTACTGGCACAGCGGTTCAAATAATACTAGATACACTCTCAGGCAGCTTTCTATTTCTCACAATAACATCTCCAGTTTAGACCCTGGGTGTTTTAAGATCAATATGCACCACCTCAGTCTGTTAGATTTAAGGAGTAATGTCTTGAGAGAGGTACGTAGTGCCTGGTTTATCGGACTGGAAAACTTGAGAACACTACTTCTCAGTGGAAACAAAATCAAAACAATCCCATCTAATGCGTTTGAATCAACGATACAACTGCAGTTTCTGGACTTGAGTCATAACGATTTGGTATGTCTGTACGGAGAATTTTTATTGAATCTACCAAACCTTTACAGAGCCGAATTTGGTGAAAATAAGTTGGTTAGCTCCAGAGCAGATAATTTGTATGGGATGACATGGAATGTCGTGTTTGAAAACTGTGTTTTCTATCTAGCTAATACTGAGCCAAGACAGTGGATACGATTCGAAGCAATTGGCTTAGTGTTGCATATAACTCATAAGACTAGAGAAAACAGTTTCATTGTAGATTGGTTTAGCACGTTGGGAAGTAAGAAAAACTTCCCTGTTAACCTGGACTCGTGCTGCCCACTCTCCGAACACTTTCGTTCTGGTCGTGTCGTGTCTTATGCCCCTTTTGTTTTCGTAGCAAAGGAAAGAAAAGAAGACGTACATAGATCCTCTTTTTCAAGTCAGTGTTTGGAAGCATGGGAAGGGTCTGGTGGTATACACTTGGATTTAAAGGGTTCTTCTAGTTTGCGATTT